TCTCCCACAATCCCCCCCCTCCCCCATGTGGAGCCAGCTCCTCTCAATGTTTTACATTTTTGTTCCTAATTGTTAGCCTTTGACCAGCTGAGACAGTCTTGCAAGACAATACCCTCTTCTAAATGTGTTTTCTGCTTTGCAGTAAGGTGATATCGCCATGGATTTGCTGTGCTTGACGGAACACCCAAAGTTGGAGAAGCAGTCGCTCTTTTCTCCTTTCCAAGTACCCATCCACTCTCCCCCCGACACCCCCCCTCACACACACACACACACACACCCCTCCCCTTCTCTTCCAGTGCTAGATGCTTCCACCACCACTCTCCTCCCTCCTGGCCTCATGCTAGCAAAGGGTGCTAGGGTGTCTAAGGTGAGGGGTCTCGTGAAAAGCAAGAAGAGAATTCCACCGAGGGGCAGTTTGAGTTCTAAGTGAATGTGGGCCAGTCGTGTCACTTACCCGCCTCTATTCCTCCACCTATAAAATGTGAGGCCCCTGAAGAGCCTTCCATCTCTGACGCTCTGTGTAACATCTCACTAAGGACAGTCCGCAGGACGCCAGTAAGCTGGGATGCCCTGAGCAGACATTGCAGCCTAAGAACATTCAAATACTTTCTTTGGGGACACCAGTGTATCTTTCCAAAGGGGCATTTTCCCTGCTGGCCTTGCACGTGTTTTCTTTCTTTCTCCTGCAGCTCATTGCTAGGACTTCCTCGGGGTCTCTCGACTGGGTTGAACATCACACCTGTAAATCTCTTTACCATATAAACAGGGCTTTGGAGAGATGAGCCAGTAATGAGAGGAACGAGGGAAAGAAAGGGCGCTACTATCCTATTAGATAACATCAACTCATAATTTATTCAGATACTTCCCATAGGAAAGTGAGACTTGGGTTTAGTTATTAGTCCAAATCAGAGCTAATGAGGGATATAAATGAGTATTTAAAAATGGTTCTCAGCCAAGAGTTATGGGCACCCCCTCTGCCTTCACTCACGTCCAAGTAGTTGGTGATGGGCTCGTAAGCAACGGCATCATTGTTGAAGCGATACTTGGCAGCTGGGTCATCCTTCCCATGGTTCTTCAGGAATTCCTCCAGGACACCCTTCTCCTCCATTGTCTGGCGGATAGACTTGCCTTTTTTCAGAATGACTCTGCAGAAAATAGGGTTTAAAAAAAGGAATGAGCTTCACCTCGCCCCCTTAAAACAACCTCTTCGATGACCTGGCCTCCCGTTTTCAATCCTCTCCAGTACTCTGCTCAAAAAGAGCCTGTTGCAGGAAATTGTCCTGGATCTCAGCAAGTTCTGACCAACAAATACACCCAACCCACCCTTCCACACACACACACATCCACACGTACACACGCACACGGACACACACCCACCGTCCACCCGTTTCAAGTCTTGGCCCCCAGCGCGTGTTCAGTTGATGGTACCAAGAGACAACCTGACCGCCTCTCCAAGAGACCTGCGCCCCTTTGCTCCCCCCTAGCTTGTCATGCCCCCCTTGGGCTGGGATCCACAATGAGGCTGAACCCTAATACACACCTTTCCACACCCTCGGAGAGGTGTAGGCAAACCAAGACCAAGACCAGGATCTTCATGGTGCTGATTTTCACCAACACACAGGACGCGGTGACAGACCCAAGTGTTGGGACACACGGAGGGAGGCTGGGTCCCTCTCTTATACGTCGATCTCCCTGCACTTTTGGTCTCTAGGACACGGGCTTTTCCACCTGTGGCACAGCCCGTTCCCCTACACTTCCACGGCCTCTGTTTGTTTTTCCCTTTGGCAGGCGCGAAGGACTTTAATGTCTACTCTGTGGTCTATTTAAAAAGCAATTAATGGCTTTGCTGATGGAATCTAAAGATTAGGGTGTGATAACAAATGTAAAGTGTACTTGGGACAAAAGATCCTGGTGCCCATGTCTACTGGGAAGGGTGCTGGCAACTTCTGCCAGGACAACGGAACAGCTTGCTCTTTAGCTCCAAAGGGCAACGTGCTCTTCGGAGATTTACAACCCACTCCCTCCTTCCTCTCTGCTCCATCTTCCTCTGCCCGGGCTCACCTACAGCTTCCCACGTGTGATTCTCTGCTCTTCATTTTCAATGTCTCAGTCCCCAAATTAGCCAACATTTATTGAATGCCTACTCCACGCTCACCTCTGTACTGAGATCTGGAAATGCAGAGATCCTTAGGAAATGGCCCTTGTCTGCCAATGTCTGCATTCTTGCTGGAATGACTGGCCCGTAACTGAATTACGAGGCCACGTGATTACTCTAGAAATTCAAATGTGTGTGGAAGGAGTGAGAGGGGTAGTGACTGTATTTATGGAGCGAGCAGGGGGAGGAAATGCGGCTCCTGGCGGGTGGGGAAGGCCTGGCAGAGGAGGTAGCACTTGAG